ACTAGAACTGAACTAGAACTGAACTAGAACTGAACTAGAACTGAACTAGAACTGAACTAGAACTGAACTAGAACTGAACTAGAACTGAACTAGAACTGAACTAGAACTGAACTAGAACTGAACTAGAACTGAACTAGAACTGAACTAGAACTGAACTAGAACTGAACTAGAACTGAACTAGAACTGAACTAGAACTGAACTAGAACTGAACTAGAACTGAACTAGAACTGAACTAGAACTGAACTAGAACTGAACTAGAACTGAACAAGAACTGTACTAGAACTGAACAGAAACTGTACTAGAACTGAACTAGAACTGAACTAGAACTGAACTAGAACTGAACTAGAACTGAACTAGAACTGAACTAGAACTGAACTAGAACTGAACTAGAACTGAACTAGAACTGAACTAGAACTGACTAGAACTGAACTAGAACTGAACTAGAACTGACTAGAACTGAACTAGAACTGAACTAGAACTGAACTAGAACTGAACTAGAACTGAACTAGAACTGAACTAGAACAGAACTAGAACTGAACTAGAACTGAACTTGAACTAGAACGAATTAGAACTGAACTAGAACAGAACTAGAACTGAACTAGAACTGAACTAGAACTACTAGAACTAACTAGAACTAAACTAGAACTAAACTAGAACTAAACTAGAACTAGAACTGACTAGAACTGAACTAGAACTGAACTAGAACTGAACTAGAACTGAACTAGAACTGAACTAGAACTGAACTAGAACTGAACTAGAACTGAACTAGAACTGAACTAGAACTGAACTAGAACTGAACTAGAACTGAACTAGAACTGAACTAGAACTGAACTAGAACTAGAACTGAACTAGAACTGAACTAGAACTAAACTAGAACTGAACTAGAACTGAACTAGAACTGAAATACAACCCAAATAGAACTAAAATTGAACTTAACTAGAACTGAAGTGGAACTGAACTAGAACTAAACTAAAACTAATTTGTAGAGCTTTCTGTAATAATCTAAAATTCCAACTAAAAGGATAACGTAATAAAAAGTATAAACTTAAAATCAAAAAGATGACGACAACATGTCGTGTGATATAAAAATGTTATCTAAAAGACATAATACATACGTAAAATATGTATATAAATTTATAAACTAATTCTAACTTGCTGAAGAGAAGACGAAGAGAAAAAGAAAACCAAAACATGGTTGAATAACCAACAGGCAACAAAACTGCAGCAGAAGATGATGATGATGATGACGACAACGATGAGAATGATAAAATGTTTGTGACATTTAAGTAAGATTTATACAATGATAAATTGCATATATTGAAGGAATAGATACAAATTGCAGGAAAAAAGTTTAACAAAAAAATTTAGAAACTAAAAGTTTAAAGATTTAAAAGAAAATTTTGCTTTAAAAAAATATGTATTAAACGAAACTAACAAAAACTTAAGTAAAAGTGTTAATAATTTCTGTTATAAGAAAATATATTTTTACTGCCTTTTTTCAAAACACCTCTTAAGCAGGAATCTTTTATTTCTCACATAATGTCTGAATACATCATCGTCATCATTCACAATAAAAGTATAAAGAAAAAAATAAAAAGAACTTGAACTTCTTGTTTTGGAGTTTGTCTTTACCAACTCGAAAAGGTTTCCAACATATTCTTACTTCTTTTTGTATGGGTACCACATATACAAACATCTAAATTCAAAGTAAAACGAAGTAGAAAAAAAACTCTTGAACAAATTTTTTCTCCATAAAAAAGGCATATTCTTTTTCTAGAATCATAAAACTTGCATTTGTTTGATTGTTTTCTTTTGGTTCAGTTTATATTTTCCTATACAATAATGATGCTTGATGTATATTCTTTTTTATGTATAAAAAAATATAGATAGAAGAAAAAGTAGTAATATGTAGTTGAGAGTTGTAAAAAATAAAGAAGTGAAAAAATTAAACAACAAGTATAGAATATTTTACAAGGACGTATTAAAAAAGACCCACTTATAAAATATAAATACAAACAAATGAAGAGAACTTTCACTCTTTACACTTGTAAAAACTTTGCCTTTTTATTTTTATTCTATTTTTACAAATAAGTATTACTTTTATCTGACATTGTTTAAAGGCGTCGTTTCGTATGAATAAGTGTTTATTTTTATATTTTTTATTTCTTACTTATCTCATCACCGTTAAGTGTAAATTTTCACACAAAATGTTTTTTTGTTTTTCTTAAATGCTTTCAATGATTGTTATGAGAAAAGTAATTAAATGTTGTAGAGATGTGAGTTTTTTTCAAATTGTTCTCGATCAGGGTTTAAGATTCGAATAGTGCTTTATTATCGGACTGAACTGGAACTGAACTAATACTAGGACCAGAACTGAACTAAAACTAGAACTGAAATTTAACTAAACTAGATCTGAACTATAACTGAACTAGAACTAAACTAAAACCAGAACTGTACAAGAACTGGAACTAGAACTGAACTAGAACTGAATTAAAAACTAAAACAAGAACTGAACTAGAACTAGAACTGAACTAGAACTGAACTAGAACTGAACTAGAACTGAACTAGAACTGAACTAGAACTGAACTAGAACTGAACTAGAACTGAACTAGAACTGAAACTAGAACTGAACTAGAACTGAACTAGAACTGAACTAGAACTGAACTAGAACTGAACTAGAACTGAACTAGAACTGAACTAGAACTGAACTAGAACTGAACTAGAACTGAACTAGAACTGAACTAGAACTGAAACTAGAACTGAACTAGAACTAGAACTAGACTGAACTAGAAAAACTGAACTAGAACTGAACTAGAACTGAACTAGAACTAGAACTGAACTAGAACTGAACTAGAACTAGAACTGAACTAGAACTGAACTAGAACTGAACTAGAACTGACTAGAACTGAACTAGAACTGAACTAGAACTGAACTAGAACTGAACTAGAACTGAACTAGAACTGAACTAGAACTGAACTAGAACTGAACTAGAACTGAACTAGAACTGAACTAGACTGAACTAGAACTGAGACTAGAACTGAACTAGAACTGAACTAGACTGAACTAGAACTGAACTAGAACTGAACTAGAACTGAACTAGAACTGAACTAGAACTGAACTAGAACTGAAGAACTAAGAACTGAACTAGAACCTAGAACTAGAACTAGAACTGAACTAGAACTGAACTAGAACTGAACTAGAACTAGAACTGAACTAGAACTGAACTAGAACTGAACTAGAACTGAACTAGAACTGAACTAGAACTGAACTAGAACTGAACTAGAACTGAACTAGAACTGAACTAGAACTGAACTAGAACTGAACTAGAACTGAACTAGAACTGAACTAGAACTGAACTAGAACTGAACTAGAACTGAAACTAGAACAATAACTAGAACTGAACTAGAACTGAACTAGAAACTGAACTAGAACTGAACTAGAACTGAACTAGAACTGAACTAGAACTGAAACTAGAACTGAACTAGAACTGAACTAGAACTGACTAGAACTGAACTAGAACTGAACTAGAACTGAACTAGAACTGAAACTAGAACTGAACTAGATGACTGAACTGAACTAACTGAACTAGAACTGAACTAGAACTGAACTAGAACTGAACTAGAACTGAACTAGAACTGAACTAGAACTGAACTAGAACTGAACTAGAACTGAACTAGAACTGAACTAGAACTGAACGAGAACTGAACTAGAACTGAACTAGAACTGAACTAGAACTGAACTAGAACTGAACTAGAACTGAACTAGAACTGAACTAGAACTGAACTAGAACTGAACTAGAACTGAACTAGAACTGAACTAGAACTGAAACTAGAACTGAACTAGAACTGAACTAGAACTGAACTAGAACTGAACTAGAACTGAACTAGAACTGAACTAGAACTGAACTAGAACTAGAACTGAACTAACTAGAACTGAACTAGAACTGAACTAGAACTGAACTAGAACTGAACTAGAACTGAACTAGAACTGAACTAGAACTGAACTAGAACTGAACTAGAACTGAACTAGAACTGAACTAGAACTGAACTAGAACTGAACTAGAACTGAACTAGAACTGAACTAGAACTGAACTAGAACTGAACTAGAACTGAACTAGAACTGAACTAGAACTGAACTAGAACTGAACTAGAACTGAACTAGACTGAACTAGAACTGAACTAGAACTGAACTAGAACTGAACTAGAACTGAACTAGAACTGAACTAGAACTGAACTAGAACTGAACTAGAACTGAACTAGAACTGAACTAAACTGAACTAGAACTGAACTAGAACTGAACTAGAACTGAACTAGAACTGAACTAGAACTGAACTAGAACTGAACTAGAACTGAACTAGAACTGAACTAGAACTGAACTAGAACTGAACTAGAACTGAACTAGAACTGAACTAGAACTGAACTAGAACTGAACTAGAACTGAACTAGAACTGAACTAGAACTGAACTAGAACTGAACTAGAACTGAACTAGAACTGAACTAGAACTGAACTAGAACTGAACTAGAACTGAACTAGAACTGAACTAGAACTGAACTAGAACTAGAACTGAACTAGAACTGAACTAGAACTGAACTAGAACTAAGAACTGAACTAGAACTGAACTAGAACTGAACTAGAACTGAACTAGAACTGAACTAGAACTGAACTAGAACTGAACTAGAACTGAACTAGAACTGAACTAGAACTGAACTAGAACTGAAGTAAACTGAACTAGAACTGAACTAGAACTGAACTAGAACTGAACTAACATTGAACTAGATCTGTCCTAGAAATAAATTTGAATTCAATTTGAACTGTAAATGCTGGAAGAATAATTTAATTACAAAAACATTTTACAGAAAGAAATCAATTTTTTTTTGTTAATTATAACTCACGCAATATTATTAGTGTGTTTATAAATACCACAAGAGAGAGAGATATAATCCCATTAGATCAAACACACAGTTTTAGTGGGTGGGTCCCTATAAATCAATCACACTTACATCTTTTCCTTCCTCGGTGGATTTGAGTATCTAGGAATGAAAAAAGGGAAAAAATCGGTCAATTTCTACTGATTTGATTTTTATTTAAGTTTTAGTTTTTGTTTTTTAATTCTTAAATCGAACAGAAACATTAATTTTTGGAATTTTTAAATAGAGAAGAGAACAAATTCGTTTATTTACAGGGAGATTTAAGAGATTATATTCTCGAGGCCCCTTAAAAACCGTAAAAACAAAGCTAGATTTATAAATACTTAAGGGATTTAAGAATATTTTAAATTTTTTCCGAAAATAATAGAAATTGACTGATTTTTTTCCTTTTTGGAAAAGGGTTTTTTGGAAAAAGTAGGCAAATTTTAAAAGTACTGCCCGGTAAATCTTATGATCGACATGAAAAATTTTTAGTTATTTTTAAATAAACGGAAGGACATAAATGCTAAATTATTTAAAAACCTTAATTGAAGAAAAACATTACTAACATTTAATGCGATATTTTTTTGGAAAATCTTAAAAAGGGAAATTTTTTTTTTTAATAAAATTAGAACAAAAAATATAAGAAACTAGGAAATCGGTTTTAAACCAAATTATGGATTGTTTAAGTTGTAATTATCAAGAAAAATTGATTTATTTCTGTAAAAATTGTTTAAAACTAAACGTCTATTTCTAAATATAATTTCACTCTTTAGGGAAGTTATTTAACGAAAAAAAGTTTCTGGCGATTAAGTCAGATAAAAGAAAACTATAGTTCCAAGATATTTAAAAATAATACTAATTTAAAAGAACTTTAGTTTTCTTTTAAACATAAAAAGGTTTTAAATAAAAAAGAAGAATTAAGAAAAATTAAAACTTACCTTCCATCTTTCAGCGCATTTGCGGGAGAATTCAGCAAATATAACTGTCTCATCGGGATGTTTTTTCTTGTGTTCTTCACGGCATGTCTGTACAAAGTAGGCATAGGCTGTCATACGACCACGAGGTTTGGCATCCGCTTTGCCACCTCCTCCGCCGGTACCAGTGCGCACCATATTATTCTGTGGATGATTAAAACGATGTAAATCAATATATTGTTGTTGATGTTCCAATAGTTGTTGTTGTTGTTGTTGTAGTTGCATAGTAGCAGGATTAGTTAAAGTTGTGGTAATAGTTGTAGAAGGAATAGAAGAATTGGGAATGTTAATAATAATTGAAGCGGTAGAAGTAGAAGTACTACTAGTATTTGCAGTAGAAGAGGAGGAGGAGGAAGAAGTTATATTAGAGGGGGAAGTGGAGGTACAAGTTGTTGTATTAGTTGTTGTAGAAGTAATTGTATTAAAACTTTGGGCAGCTGCCTGTTGTTGATTTAGCTGCTGTTGTTTTTGTTCAGTTTGTTGTTGTTGTGTTTGTGTCTCTATTGTGTTGGAATTGGCCAATTCGTTGGCAGCAGAAGTCGAAGCTATAACACTAGTCTATTTGTTTAAACATTTTATGTTTGTTTTATGCCATTTTAAAGGATTTCAAATATTTCAAAGAAAAAAAGAAGAAAAATAAACAAAATTCTACATTAAATAAAAATTGTTTTTGTTTTGCGGAGTAAACGAGTAGTAACAGAGAGTAGAGAAAACTCTTAATGGCAACACCTTGGGTGAGAAATAATGGCAACATTGTGGGTAAAAAATATGTAAACATAAACATACACACACATACAAATAACAAGTCAAGTAATATAAACAATAGCAGCAAATTAAGCTGCAATTTTTAGTGCTATTATTGCTGTTGTTGCTCTTGCAACTAAAATGCTAGTCTAGGCAAGTAAACATGATGATTATGAAGTTGTTGTTGTTGTATAATGATGATGCTTCTGACATTTACACACAATATGCTTATACACAAAAACGTCATAATGATGTTTCAGTATTGTTCATTATTATCATGATGATGGATGATAACAGTAATAATGATGACGTTTTTGCTGATGCTGATAAATTTGTTTTATTTTGTTGCTAGTTTCTTTTTATACATTTTGTAACTAGGCAGCTGCCAAGTTTCAACTGGAAATTCCAATTTGGAATGTTATTGGATGAAAAAATATTGCTAAATGCAATACAACAAAAATGTGGAAAAAATATATGATGACAAGGACATAATGTGGTTGAAAACATAAACCACAATATTATGGGAACAAATTTAAACAATTAAATTTTTTAATTTTCTGTTTAATTTTTATATTTTTAATAAACTCGAACTATATAAGAACTGTTCTAGAACTGAACAAGAACTAAACTAGAACTGAACTGGAACTGAACTAGAACTCAACTAGAACTGAACTAGAACTGAACTAGAACTGAACTAGAACTGAACTAGAACTGAACTAGAACTGAACTAGAACTGAACTAGAACTGAACTAGAACTGAACTAGAACTGAACTAGAACTGAACTAGAACTGAACTAGAACTGAACTAGAACTGAACTAGAACTGAACTAGAACTGAACTAGAACTGAACTAGAACTGAACTAGAACTGAACTAGAACTGAACTAGAACTGAACTAGAACTGAACTAGAACTAACTAGAACTGAACTAGAACTGAACTAGAACTGAACTAGAACTGAACTAGAACTGAACTAGAACTGAACTAGAACTGAACTAGAACTGAACTAGAACTGAACTAGAACTGAACTAGAACTGAACTAGAACTGAACTAGAACTGAACTAGACTGAACTACTGAACTAGAACTGAACTAGAACTGAACTAGAACTGAACTAGAACTGAACTAGAACTGAACTAGACTAAACTGAACTAGAACTGAACTAGAACTGAACTAGAACTGAACTAGAACTGAACTAGAACTGAACTAGAACTGAACTAGAACTGAACTAGAACTGAACTAGAACTGAACTAGAACTGAACTAGAACTGAACTAGAACTGAACTAGAACTGAACTAGAACTGAACTAGAACTGAACTAGAACTGAACTAGAACTGAACTAGACTGAACTAGAACTGAACTAGAACTGAACTAGAACTGAACTAGAACTGAACTAGAACTGAACTAGAACTGAACTAGAACTGAACTAGAACTGAACTAGAACTGACTAGAACTGAACTAACTGAACTAAACTGAACTAGAACTGAACTAGAACTGAACTAGAACTGAACTAGAACTGAACTAGAACTGAACTAGAACTGAACTAGAACTGAACTAGAACTGAACTAGAACTGAACTAGAACTGAACTAGAACTGACTAGAACTGAACTATACTGAACTAGAACTAGAACTGAACTAGAACTGAACTAGAACTGAACTAGAACTGAACTAGAACTGACTAGAACTGAACTAGAACTGAACTAGAACTGAACTAGAACTGAACTAGAACTGAACTAGAACTGAAACTAGAACTGAACTAGAACTGAACTAGAACTGAACTAGAACTGAACTAGAACTGAACTAGAACTGACTAGAAGCTGAACTAGAAGCTAGAACTAGAACTGAGACTAGAACTGAACTAGAACTAGAACTGAACTAGAACTAGAACTGAACTAGAACTAGAACTAGAACTAGAACTAGAACTGAACTAGAACTGAACTAGAACTGAACTAGAACTGAACTAGAACTGAACTAGAACTGAACTAGAACTGAACTAGAACTAACTAGAACTGAACTAGAACTGAACTAGAACTGAACTAGAACTGAACTAGAACTGAACTAGAACTGAACTAGAACTGAACTAGAACTGAACTAGAACTGAACTAGAACTGAACTAGAACTGAACTAGAACTGAACTAGAACTGAACTAGAACTGAACTAGAACTGAACTAGAACTGAACTAGAACTGAACTAGAACTGAACTAGAACTGAACTAGAACTGAACTAGAACTGAACTAGAACTGAACTAGAACTGAACTAGAACTGAACTAGAACTAGAACTAGAACTAGAACTGAACTAGAACTGAACTAGAACTAGAACTGAACTAGAACTGAACTAGAACTGAACTAGAACTGAACTGAACTAGAACTGAACTAGAAACTGAACTAGAACTGACTAGAACTGAACTAGAACTGAACTAGAACTGAACTAGAACTGAACTAGAACGAACTAGAACTGAACTAGAACTGAACTAGACTGAACTAGAACTGAACTAGAACTGAACTAGAACTGAACTAGAACTGAACTAGAACTGAACTAGAACTGAACTAGAACTGAACTAGAAACTGAACTAGAACTGAACTAGAACTGAACTAGAACTGAACTAGAACTACTAGAACTGAACTAGAACTGAACTAGAACTGAACTAGAACTGAACTAGAACTGAACTAGAAACTGAACTAGAACTGAACTAGAACTGAACTAGAACTGAACTAGAACTGAACTAGAACTGAACTAGAACTGAACTAGAACTGAACTAGAACTGAACTAGAATTGAACTAGAACTGAACTAGAATAAACTGAACTAGAACTAGAACTGAACTAGAACTGAACTAGAACTAGAACTGAACTAGAACTAGAACTGAACTAGAACTGAACTAGAACTGAACTAGAACTGAACTAGAAACTAGAACTAGAACTAGAACTGAACTAGAACTGAACTAGAACTGAACTAGAACTGAACTAGAACTGAACTAGAACTGAACTAAATCTTTACTAGAACTGAACTAGAACCAGAACAAAAACAAGAACTGAACTAAAACTGATCAAGACAAAACTAGAACTGAACTGAACTAACAGAGTTAAAAAATATTCTAAGCTCCTAGATATAGAAAAATACTACGTGTATACGGGTGGTATGAGTAATATTTGACAATTTTCGTAAAGTATACGTGGATCTTCCTCTAACCATCGAAAAGGCAAGAAAACATTATTTTTAAACTTTATGATACTCTCATATTTCTATCTTTTCCAATTTCTGGTTATATTTTAATAATTTTATTTTATATTATTTATATAAACAATTTCTTTTTTTATTATTTAATTACTTATTTAAATAGTCGTTTGTTTGTTTAATTATACTACAATTTACAATAATAAATATCTGTCTGTAGGTATAATTGTTGTTGTTTTGCGGTCATTAGTTTTGTTACTCATTCATTATTTGCATTTTAATTAGCACAGCTGTTTGGCAAGTTCAAAAATAAGTATGTAGTAAAACGTTTGAGCGGTACGTACATTTACGTGCAAATAAAATTCTAAATAAAAATATTTTATATAGAAAACTTAAGTTATTTTTTTTTTTGTGTCTTTAATTTTTGCAATGAATCATCTTTGTTAAATGTAGAAAACCGGAAAATATAATAATATAGAAAGGCGTTTTATTAATAAACCACAAAAAGTAATTTACTTTAGTTTTGCCTCAATACATTTATAAATTTTTATATTTATATAATAAATCAAATAAAATCTTTATTATTTGTTATTGTTGTCATTGTGAAATTGTTATAAACGTCATTTGTTTTGTCACTGAGTGAAACTTGTATTGGTTTTTGTGGTGAGAATTTTTACCAGGAAGAAGATAGTGAGAAAAGGGACAGAGGAATATAAATAACTGTTAAGTGATGAGTAATAAGAGTTTGGTAAAGGTTGCCATATTTATAATGTTAATTAGCAAGACTGTGCAGGAGTTGCAAGATTACCTATTATTTTTACGTGTCAATCAATAATAATGATCTTCGAAAAGTTAATTATAGGCTAAGAATACTAAACTAGAACTGAACTAGAACTGAACTAGAACAGAACTAGAACTGAACTAGAACTGAACTAGAACTGAACTAGAACTGAACTAGAACTGAACTAGAACTGAACTAGAACTGAACTAGAACTGAACTAGAACTGAACTAGAACTGAACTAGAACTGAACTAGAACTGAACTAGAACTGAACTAGAACTGAACTAGAACTGAACTAGAACTGAACTAGAACTGAACTAGAACTGAACTAGAACTGAACTAGAACTGAACTAGAACTGAACTAGAACTGAACTAGAACTGAACTAGAACTGAACTGAACTAGAACTGAACTAGAACTGAACTAGAACTAGAACTGAACTAGAAACTGAACTAGA